GGCAAGAACAACAATGGCGCGGTCGTGGTGGTGGTGGTGGAGTGTGTGTACGTGTGTGCGTGGACGGACAGCGCGCGCGCCTCAGAAGGTAGTTTGAGTAACAGTAGAGGTATGCACACCAATGCACGTTGTCCGCACGACGCGCGGCGCACACGAGGGTACGCCGCGCGAGTAGGCAGTCAATTCCAAAGCGTACGTCATCACACGCGCACGCGCTCTCCGTCGCTCCTCCGCACACACCACAACACACCACACAGCAGCACACACACATAGTGGCCGCACGCCAGCGGGCTCTCGCACGTGTTTCGTACCGTAGCTCCACATGGGGGTTGTGGCGGAGACGCATAGCGACACTGCTTGGCCATTCTCACGGAGCAGCAGCTACCCACAAGCCGCGTCAAGAACGACAACGACAGTTGCCGCGGCACTCTCGCGCATCACCCGACCGCAGGGGCACCGGTAGCAGCCCGCGTGCGGCTTGAAAATGAGCGCTTTGACCGCTTACAGCTCTCTTCTCTCTCGGCGTCACGGCATCTCTTTCCCCTGATGTAGACGAGCAGCTTGCGGAGATGCTACTGGCGTGCTCGCTAGGTCAAGGGATGGCACGCATACGGACGCACGTGAACGCGCACACGCAGACACGCACCAGCTCAGACTTACTATCTAACGATTATTCCGTACGGTTGCTCATCCGCCACGCGAGGTGGTTCAGTTTTCCCGAGTTACATATGAGGTGAGGATTGTCATCATCGTTGGTGCGCACAGCAGCGTGGTCTTCAGCGGCTCTAGGACATTGTGTTGAACCGCGTGGGGGATGAGTATTGCCCTCCGCAGCCTGCCACGTTCCAGCCGCACAAACATACACATGCACACGTACAGGGGGAGAGTTGAGGGCGGCGCAGCACGCGCGGTCGCGTCAGTGCCGTGTAGTAGTAGGTGCATCAGAGTTCAGACTCGTCTTCCAATTATGATGTTGATCACATCTCAGCAGATTCATCACGCCGACCGCTGCGTCGCCTCCGCGCTCTCGCTCTCTCGCTGTCTCCTCGGCACCTCCGCTCCGCCCGCCACCGCGCACGCATGCTCTCCGCGCGGCGCACTCAGCTGTTCTTTCTCGATTGTGAAGTTCCTTTCGCGTGTCACTCAGATGTGGTGTCAGCGTGTCGCGATGCGAATAGAAAGGTCATCCGTGTGACGCCGGGGAAGGGGGTGGGGGAGGCGGCAGCTCCGCAGGGTGGTTCAGGTCGGCAGCGGCAAGAACAACAATGGCGCGGTCGTGGTGGTGGTGGTGGAGTGTGTGTACGTGTGTGCGTGGACGGACAGCGCGCGCGCCTCAGAAGGTAGTTTGAGTAACAGTAGAGGTATGCACACCAATGCACGTTGTCCGCACGACGCGCGGCGCACACGAGGGTACGCCGCGCGAGTAGGCAGTCAATTCCAAAGCGTACGTCATCACACGCGCACGCGCTCTCCGTCGCTCCTCCGCACACACCACAACACACCACACAGCAGCACACACACATAGTGGCCGCACGCCAGCGGGCTCTCGCACGTGTTTCGTACCGTAGCTCCACATGGGGGTTGTGGCGGAGACGCATAGCGACACTGCTTGGCCATTCTCACGGAGCAGCAGCTACCCACAAGCCGCGTCAAGAACGACAACGACAGTTGCCGCGGCACTCTCGCGCATCACCCGACCGCAGGGGCACCGGTAGCAGCCCGCGTGCGGCTTGAAAATGAGCGCTTTGACCGCTTACAGCTCTCTTCTCTCTCGGCGTCACGGCATCTCTTTCCCCTGATGTAGACGAGCAGCTTGCGGAGATGCTACTGGCGTGCTCGCTAGGTCAAGGGATGGCACGCATACGGACGCACGTGAACGCGCACACGCAGACACGCACCAGCTCAGACTTACTATCTAACGATTATTCCGTACGGTTGCTCATCCGCCACGCGAGGTGGTTCAGTTTTCCCGAGTTACATATGAGGTGAGGATTGTCATCATCGTTGGTGCGCACAGCAGCGTGGTCTTCAGCGGCTCTAGGACATTGTGTTGAACCGCGTGGGGGATGAGTATTGCCCTCCGCAGCCTGCCACGTTCCAGCCGCACAAACATACACATGCACACGTACAGGGGGAGAGTTGAGGGCGGCGCAGCACGCGCGGTCGCGTCAGTGCCGTGTAGTAGTAGGTGCATCAGAGTTCAGACTCGTCTTCCAATTATGATGTTGATCACATCTCAGCAGATTCATCACGCCGACCGCTGCGTCGCCTCCGCGCTCTCGCTCTCTCGCTGTCTCCTCGGCACCTCCGCTCCGCCCGCCACCGCGCACGCATGCTCTCCGCGCGGCGCACTCAGCTGTTCTTTCTCGATTGTGAAGTTCCTTTCGCGTGTCACTCAGATGTGGTGTCAGCGTGTCGCGATGCGAATAGAAAGGTCATCCGTGTGACGCCGGGGAAGGGGGTGGGGG